GGCTCATTGGACATGTCTGTGCGGGTGTGGGATACATCGACAGGTGTGGAGCTGAAGGAGCTGAAGGGCCACACTGACTCAGTCACTTCAGTCGCATTTTCGAGTGATGGGACACGGATTGTGTCTGGCTCAATGACAAGTCTGTGCGGGTGTGGGATGCATCGACAGGTGTAGAGCTGAAGGAGCTGAAGGGCCACACTGGCTGGGTCTCTTCAGTCGCATTTTCAAGCGATGGGACACGGATTGTGTCTGGCTCGTTGGACAACTCTGTGCGGGTGTGGGATGCATCGTCAGGTGTGGAGCTGAAGGAGTTGAATGGCCATACTCACCCGGTCAATTCGGTCGCATTTTCGAGCGATGGGACACGGATTGTGTCTGGTTCAAATGACAGGTCTGTGCGGGTGTGGGATGCATCGACAGGTGTGGAGCTGAAGGAGCTGAATGGCCATACTCACCCGGTCAATTCGGTCGCATTTTCGAGCGATGGGACACAGATTGTGTCTGGTTCAAATGACAGGTCTGTGCGGGTGTGGGATGCATCGTCAGGTGTGGAGCTGAAGGAGTTGAATGGCCATACTCACCCGGTCAATTCGGTCGCATTTTCGAGCGATGGGACACAGATTGTGTCTGGTTCAAATGACAGGTCTGTGCGGGTGTGGGATGCATCGACAGGTGTGGAGCTGAAGGAGTTGAATGGCCATACTCACCCGGTCAATTCGGTCGCATTTTCGAGCGATGGGACATGGATTGTGTCTGGTTCAAATGACAGGTCTGTGCGGGTGTGGGATGCATCGTCAGGTGTGGAGCTGAAGGAGCTGAAGGGCCACACTAACTCTGTCACATCAGTCGCATTTTCGAGCGATGGGACACGGATTGTGTCTGGCTCGAATGACAGCTCTGTGCGGGTGTGGGATGCATCGACCGGTGAGGAGCTGAAGGAGCTCAAGGGCCACAATGACTATATCAAATCGGTCGCATTTTCAAGTGATGGGACACGGATTGTGTCCGGCTCGGATGACGAGTCAGTACGGGTATGGAATGTGTCGACAGGTATTTTGAGTGATGGAGATGCGCGCTTTGCTTGGGATCTGGCAGACTCAGACTGGATTATCTCTTCTCGGGAGCAAAACCCCTTTATGTGGGTGCCAAAGGAGGCCAATTTGCACACACCTCTCAAGATTCTTATCATTTCTCGGTCTGGCTTTGCTACAGTTGACTTTGATCAGTCTATGATTGGTGTTGATTGGGTTTGCTGTTATACACCATAGCTACAGTCACTTTGTCGATTATACATATCATTCTTCCGCACAATGCATCTTTTCTCCCTCCCACAACGGGCTCCCTTTCCCCTTCTTCCCCTCCTTCACGCATCTGGGTCCCTGTCTTCTTCATCCTCCTTCTCCTAACGCCAATCCACTTCCTCCTCCCACTCCTCCTCATCGATACCAAATTACTCCAACGCAGATCTTAAAGTCAAGAAATCCCTCAACTCAAGCAAACCCATCATTAATTCACGCGTCATTCCCAACTTCCCCTTTGAATTCTGTCCAAGTTACAGCACCAGGGATGGATCAGCGCAAAGTATGGTGCTATTACGTTTTCCAGAGAGCGGCGCAAGCCTCAGGATTCAGAGGGTGTTGAATAAGGCCCTGGCAGGTCAGAGTGTTACTATCTCTGTTCTTGGCGGTTCGGGTATCTGTCCGTTGTTTCTGTCCGTTGTTTTTTTTTCCCTCTTCCTCTTTCCACACCCGCAAACTCACGTACAACTATGCCGTGTCAGTGCGGGACGGCCCTTATCATTGAGCAGTGCGTGCGTTTTCTTTTGTTTCTCTGCTTGTTCTCGGCTCCTTTTTTTCGTTTCTCTGCCCTTTCTTTCACACCACATGTTTTTTCTTTTCTTTTTGCTTTTATTCGTTGCGACCGTCCGCCCACCCTAATCATCACACATTTCATGCCGTCTTTTCATCACACCCACCCAAAAGACGGACTTTTCCCACACCAAGCAAGGGTAGCTGCCCAAGGGGCCATCCCATCTTGCTCGTTTGCCTCTGTTGCAGCTTCGTTATGGATTTACTTGGAAAAGTTTCGCTTTCAGTCCTCAACCCTATCCATGACCCACTTTTCAGAAACACCCCACGTCTTGAAGGTCGAGCTTGGGCTTGGCGATCGGCGTCATCGTGTTGATTTTTCCATTTTCCATTTCATTACCCCCAGCTTCCACGTCGTTGTGGGTCGCGGGGAGTTTGTGGATCCTGCCTGTCCTTTTTTGAGTGCGACGAGCTGTTGTATGACCTTGCCTACCTTTTTATTCCCCATACTTCGGCTCGTTTCTGGACAGACGTGGACCCCCTCCCTTCTTCTGTTCTTGTCGCGTTTCCATGCGGCTTCTCCTCCGATTTGGTTGTCCTCTCGATAACTTCCACGTATCGGGCAATCGCGCGGCCAGCGGCGTTTGGCAGGTAAATATCCTGTCCACGTTTCTTTCTTTTCTTTTCAAACCGTGGTTGAAAGTTCCGGAGGTAGCTTCTTTCTTCTATTTATTACGACTGAGGGCTTTGCCTTGAATTCCTATACGTTTGTTGTTAGGCCTATCTTCCTATTGGGTTGAATGCTTTGTGTTAGTCTTTATTTGGGTTTCCCTTCACCCGCAATATTTTGAGAGCAACCTGAACTTCGACTCCGTTCCTTCGTTCTGGTCTTTCATTGCATGTTGGTGGTACTCATGGTCGTTAGTTTGTATTTTATAGTCAACTGGGCATTGAAAGTGTTGTGTGCCTGACTGAAAGGTTACTTCTGGAAATCAAAACTAAAGACGTGTCTCGTGAACGGGATCGCGAAGTCATGATTAGAAGGCGGCTAATAATTATTGTGTGAACCTGGTGTAGTACGAATGGCCCTGATGAACGCCCGTTTGCCTTTGGTATGTTTCTTGTGGCAGACGGCACAGTTGAAATTGGGGATTCTCTGATATTCTTCACCGGACTGAACCACCATCTCCAGTGTGATTATACTATTGCGGTTCTGAAATACAAAGAAAAGAAAGTCAGGACATGTGTAACTTTAACAGTGAATTGACATAAGAAAGCGCACTTCTCCGTCTGCAGCACCGGCTTTCTTGATAGCCTCCATAATCTCAGAAGTGACGTATGGCACACTGGCCACCGTCGCTCCTAAGGGTCTGTCCGGTAAGGGTCTGTCCGGTAACGAGAATCCATTCTCATCTCATTTTCATCCTCATTTGATGGCATGTCCGGAGCATGCCAGGGTCTTCCCACGGTATGAATTTCTCGCTCAACCGACTCTAGTTTGATTGCATGTTCCTTGCTCCCTCCCCCAATGCTGGATTGGTTCCAAAGCAGCTGAAGTGTCCACATATCTATTTGCTCCCCATAAGTACATATTTGTTAAATGTAGTTGGAATGTAGTCAGGTTTCTGTTGCTGTCCAAAATTATTTCTTACAGAAATGCTTCAAGGAAAAATGACAAAGTTTCCTTTTCCTTACCCATCAAGTTATACCATAGGTTTTTTTATAGGTTCCACAGCAGCCTATGGGTGCCAAACCAACAAGTAGGGAAGATTGGTTGTATGTAATTTACATGACTAAAATAAATACATATGCATGATTTTTGCAAAATAAAAAATGTACATACTATAGCTGACAGAATACTTACTGTTTTGTACATAAAAACAAAATAACAACGGAATGTGGGTTGTGCGAGGAGCCCAGTTATCGTTGCTCAATTTGGTGTGTGACCCAATTTGTCAGCCATCAAATGAGGATGAAAATGAGATGAGAATGGATTCTCGTTACCGGACAGACCCTAACTGTTGTTTCTCTTCTATTACTTGTGTGATTCTCCGAGTCAAGATGTCGTCGTAGGAGCGCTTGACGTGGTCATTAGGGTAAGTACCCGCATATTTTGTCACAGCCACCGAGCAGCCCAGTCAACGGGCCTGGCGCTGGGGCGTGTTCAATGAGCTTTGCTGGGAGAGGTGGGGCAGTGACGATGATGGCAAAAAACCCGAAGAGTGCAAGGATAACTTCATAGTGCACAAAAACAACTTGACGGGGAAGAAAGAAAGAATCGGGAAGTTGAAGTGAGAAAGCAAATCGTCAGAGACGAAGCGAGCTTAGACCTGCACAGCTGGTGAATAATTGAAGATGCGGCAGAGAGTTTTTATATGAATCCAGAGCCATTGGGATTCAAGCTGCCAATTTATTTAGCAGGATAAGTAAGTGATTGACATCGCGTTGGCCGCTGACTCGTATTTACCATCATGGAAGCCGCTTGAGACTAATTATATGTCAGTGAACACTAGTAGGAGGAACAGAGGTAGGTAGCACTTACATTCGTATGCACAAGGCAGGGCTGCGTCGTAGTCAGAACGCGAATTTCAACTCATAGAGCGATTCATTGTCGTAGTGGTCGTAATCCATGAAAGAAAAAGGTGTAGCCCCAATAAAACCCGTTCTCGTTCCGCTGACCGCCGTTCCCGCAATCAACGACTTGTATCCACGAACGAAGTCCTCATCCTGAACCGGATTCAAGTTGTAAATGGAAGCCTCAGACGTCGAGCCAAGCAAGGAGTAGATTTTAAATCGAAATTTTTGATAAGCAGGGCCAGGACATTGGTCAATCGTTGGTGGCAGCGTCGAGAACACTTGAAGAGTGTCGAAATTCAGGACTTGATGTTGAATGAGTCATTAGAAGTGACTTACCATCGTCGCCTTCATAAGCAACTACCCCGACATTGGCCGAGCGCGATCTTTCTTGACGAGCGTTGCCGCAACCGTGATGTTGTGTCCCGCTCCTCTTTGAAGAAATCCTCATCGTCAGGCGCTCCATGTGCATTCGACGTCGATTGTCAAGATGATAACTTAAAGCAACCGGCAGAATGACTCGTCCCGTTGGACCTCTGGGAACTCCTCCGTGACGGCTCTCGGTCATTCCCAGATTCTTCATATCATCGCGTACTGTCCTTTCTCGCCCACTCACATTTCACGTCACAATCTCAAGCCCCTCTTCATCCCACTCCACAGATTCTCCAGCTTGCCGGACGACACGACGCTCTAGAAAGAATGGTGGAAGGCAACAACCTCAAGAAGATGCTGCGGTCATCGTCGATTCAGTGGGGTCTCGGCCCACTTTGGCAGACATGTCCACAGAGGTTCGATTGTTATTGAAGAGCTGCTGGCGGGAATGATCAGGTCGTCAAATTGTTGGGAAGGAGGAGCCTTGTGGATGGGAGATCATCGATCAGCGCTCAGCATCTGGACTGGCCTCAAGTGCCGAAGGGCACACAGGAGATGCGCTCGCGGTTTTGCACGGAAAAGGATGTGAGATTGGCGAGTTTCCCGTCAAGTTAACATGGCAGGTAGTGCCAAGTAGAATTCCGTGCATGCTGGCTTATGAACCCGCGCGTCGAGCTGGTTAACGATTCACGAGAACCTCTTCCAGAACATCCGGCAATCTTGTCGTACTGGATGGTGTTAATGAACACAGACGAGCTGGAGTCAGACCTGACCACAAAAGATCAAGCAGAATCGATGGGTGGCCTAATCCCCGGTGGTGTACTGGCTGTATAGCAGGATGGATCCAAGAAGTATTCATAAAAGCTTCCCGCCAGGGAGTCTTCTTGCCCGCAATCTTTTGTAGACCTTTGTTAGTGGGTCAGGATCATCCGCCGGCGGTTGCAGTGGAAAATATAAACGCACCCAAGGCTAGCATTGCCGTTTGTTCCATTACTCCATTACCATAGTACGCAGCGATGTGGGATCCTTCAAAGTTACCCACCTGCCGCTACTCGCAAGAACGCCTGGGGTATAAATCTAGCATGATATGAGCAAAGAACCTATTACTTGAAAACAAACGTAAAGAACATCGCCAACGTTGTAGACCCTCAGCCATATCTCGACGCTTGATATCACAGAATAAATGAGTTCAACTGGTTCATTGTAAGGATAAAGGCAACCCAGCAAGCCGTGGTTGGTCACGTTGGCGTATTAAACCTATGGACGCGTCACACACTGGACTTGAGATTGTTGCTTTCACACTCCTTCTTTCGTTGGAACTCTTCGCATCTCTCCTCCCTCTCCCAGCTCACCCATAATGGGCTGTCTTTCCCCTTCTTCTCCTTCCCCCCCTCCTCTTCTCTAAGGACGTCTCCCAGTCTTCTCCATCCTCCTCCTTTTAATGCCAATCGACTTCATCGATACCAAACTACTTGAACGCAGATCTAAAAGCCAAGGATTACCCCAACTCGGCTGAACCCGTCAATTCATCACAAGCGCATTCGACTTTCGTCCCAGTTGCTGTCCGGGGGAAGATCGGCGCAAAGGATGGCGCAGTTACGCTTTCGAAGAGCAGGATGCACTTGGGATGCACCTGGTCAGCGGTGCGAGGATTCAGAGGGTGTTGAATGAGGCGCTGGCGGGTCAGAGTGTACTATCTTTGTTTTGGGCGGTTCGCGTGTGTATCTTCTTTTTCCTTCCCCTTCCTCTTTCCACCCAGAAACTCACATACGACCGCCTACACAGTGTCAGCATGCCACGGAGCAGGGGACGACCCTATCTCCCCTACATGCTACCCATCCCACTTCTTCCAATGGTGGAACACCGTTTTTCCACACCCAGCTACGGAACTGACAAACGGCGCCCTGCGACACACGAATTCGGGATACTTTGGCCATTGTAACTCGCACCATCTCCCGGATCAGACGGATTTGATTATTATTGAGCTGGATACGGAGGATGAACCGTACGTTTTCTTTTCGTTTCTTTCGGTTCTCTTTGGTTTCTTGTCTGTTTCTTTCGTATGACCCTTTTCTTTCTTTTTGCTTCTGTTCGTTATCGACCGCCTTGCGCCCACCCTTTTTATCACACACCTCATTGCCGCCTTATCGTCACCCCGCCCATAACATGGACTTTCCCACACCAAGCAAGGGTAGCCGCCCACAAGGCCATCCTATCTTGCTCATTTGTTCAGTTATCTTCTACCGTGGGGTCTCATTGTGGCTCTCTCTTCCGTCAGGTTTTTCTTCAGCTATGACCACTCCCGTCTTCTTCATAACCATTTCTTCACGAAAGGAGTTTACCCTACCCATCCCACGCTCCTCCATTTCCCATTTCCCAGAAATGCCCCACGTCGAGTTTGACGGATGGCGTTGTCGTGTTTATTTTCACTTCCGATCCCCTTACCCTCGCGTCCGCTTCGTTGTGGGTCGGGGAACTTGTCCTTCTTCAAGCGCGCGAGCTGTTGTGACCGTACTTTCTTATGCTCCTTTTTGGAAGGCATGGCGCGGACGTGTGACCCTTCCGTTCTTTTTATTCTCTTTTTTTTTTTTTTTTTTTCGCGGTTCCTTGCGTCTTTCTTCGGTTACGGTGATTCTGGTTTGATCGTCCCCTGGGCGTCCAGCTGTGTTTGGCATGCAGCCTGTGCATGTTTCTTACTTTTTTTTCTTCTTACGTTGTTGTTGAAAGCCCTGGAAGGAGAGTCCTTCCTTTTCGTTTCTCTTTTATCCTTTCTTTGAGCGCGACGAGCCGTTGTGACCTACCTTTTGTTCTTTTTTGGGAACCCATGGCGCGGAATCCCTTCTTCTCTTCTTGTCGCGTTTTCTCCGATTTCGTTGACTTTGGTTTAGTTGTCCTGTTGATAACCTCCAGGTGTCCCCTCACCCACCCACCGAGCGGCGTTTGGAGGGCATCCTGTCCATGTTTCTTCC